AAATAAATGTCCAACAAAATGACACATTGAGTTCATCAAGTCATACTAGTCATGGTCATCATCACATCCCCTCAACATCGTCAACAAACATCAACAAATCTTAAAATTCACCATAATCCATACTCGCAAAACAAACAAACTGACTCAAGATAAGACACTAGAATAAAAACAGAAAATGAAAATAACCTAAAAGACTTAGACCTGGTCAACCACATAAGGCACATAATCATGCAAAAACTCCCCCACACTTAAAACCGAACAATGTCCCCATTGTCGATCATCAGTGCTACGAAAGTTTGCCCACATAATCAACCAACACAAAAGACAGAGAAACCAAACAAACGAAAATTAAGAGAAAGGAAAAGATACAAGCGTACATGGTACAGTGACTAGACTAGTCACTGTGAATCCGGTGGTGCAGGTGGAGGGTGGAGGTAGTCAGGCCCCGAACAGCGGTGGGCCTCCATCAGCTTAAATCTCTCGCCATGGAAGCCGAGTACATAGCAGCCTCAGAGGCAGCGAAAGAGGCAGTTTGACTCAGGAACTTCTTAGTGGACTTAGAGGTTATACCGAGTTTGCCACATGGTCACCGTGTACTGTGATAACAGTGGAGCAGTAGCGAACTCAAAAGAACCTCGAGCCCACAGGGCAAGCAAACACATAGAGCGCATATACCATCTGATTCGGGATATCGTTGGTAGAAGAGACGTTGATGTTGCCAAGATTGCGTCAGAGGACAACCTAACTGATCCTTTCACGAAGAGTTTGCCGGGGAAGGTCTTCGTCAAACACGTGAAAGGAATGGGAGTCATGAGCATGGCAATAGGATCGACATAGGTCTTTTAGAATAACGGATTGATAGGACTATACTGTAAAAGCAAAAGCTTTAAGTATAAGTGGGAGATTGTTAGTGTTATATACTGAAAGCTTGGATTTGCATGTTATTACACATTTACCCTTTATGAATGAGAATCATGTTAGATTAAACACGTTCTACGTTTTGTTGTTCTGCACTTAGATAGGGTGGGTCGTCATCGGGCTTTGCATGTTATTACACATTTTGTAGCTCTATATATACATCATTAAGCTCATGAGAAGAGAATAAAAGTCTCATTCACACGAGATACACGCCCCACGTCTCTCTCTCTAGATCTCATTCGAGCTTTATCTTCTTCTTGTTGCTCCACTGGTACAAGTTGAAGAAGGGTGTATTGAGTAATACAGTAGAAGATCTGTAGGTAAACTGAGACGAAATATATTTTGACCTACAGAACTAACCGGAAGTCCGATTGAAACTTACAGCATACCCAGACGACCGTCTCAACGAGAGCTTTCTATCGCCGCCGAGAACGCAGCCGTCCGACGCCTCACGCGCCCTCACGCGCAGCCGGAAGCTCCCAGCTGCAAAGTTTCGTTTTGATCTGTTTGCATCCGTTTGATCCAATTTTGATCTGATCTTGTTCGCGCAACCCAAGACGTGATTTGCGGTCAATCAATTGTGGTCAACCGTTCGTGATTAACCAGATCTACATAAATTTTAAGCCGTAAGTTCTCTACGTCAAACCTTTAGATCCGCTGCGCATAGGTTTACGTTTGCTATTGAATTCGTGACTTGTACATAACGAGATCCTCACAGATCCTAACAGGGTGAAGGTTGAGAGGTGGGCCTCCACATGTTTTTCCAGTCGAGAACCGTATGGGAGTGGGTCTTAGCTCGGGACTTAGTTAGATGTAATTAGCCAACTCCTCTTTGGAGAAGGGAGTTTCATGATCTGCTTCTCGGACTGTTGTCTTTCTTGTCTTGGTTATGTGGTTGGGTATCTGGCTCGTGTTGGACGTTCAGAGCAGCTTGTTTCCTATTGAGGAGGGCTTTTTATTTAATGAGGATCAATTGTTTTTCTACTTTCTCTCTTCTGTGACTCAAACCCATGACCTATCGATCATATAGGTGAAACGTCTTACCACCAAGCTGCGCTTCGTTGTCTCGAGGATGACTTTATTGTAGTTATTGCTGGTTGTTTGGTTTTGTTTTTAGGTTCTGTGTTTATGCTAGCTATGAGTGTGAGTCTTTGTTGTGGTGTTTATTATCCTCATCAAGACTGTGTATTCTCCCGTTTGAGAGTTTTTATTCACCACTTGTGAAAGTCTTTGTAGTTTGTTTGTGTATTTTGTGTTCGTGTTATGGATTCTAGGTTAATTTTGAGTATACCTCTGCTTTGAATTCAGCTAGTTCATTCGGCTAGTTAATTACTTATAATTACAATTAATGAATATACCTTTTTTTTAAAAAAAAACTCAATTATTAGATTTCTATTTTGCGAGAAACAATATAAAACGTAGGAGAAATAAAATAGTTGCAAATTCGTAAAATATGAGATGACAAACGACCCTCCATTTGGAGAGATGTCATTGTTTGAGAGGTGAGATCACGCGCTTCGGTGATCTTGAAGGAGCGTGTGATTTTCGGAAGCTTGGCTTAGAAACATGGCACTTAATTCATTTTCCGACAGGGACAGCTGGCCTTCCGGCTGTACTTTGATCAACACGGCTCACAATCTTCAGCCGCGCCATTTTGTATAGCAGCTTTCAGCTGAGCCTAGCTGTCTGATGTAATGGATCAATGGCAATTATTTAGAATTGTATGGCTGTTTTTATTTTATTTTCTTATATATATAACTATATATATGTGAGTGTAAAAATGAATGTCAAAAGTGTAAATGATAAAAGGTGTATCTTTAATGTCCATAATAAAATAATAAAAATGTCAATATGCTATACAAAATGTCAACAAATGCCATATATTGGTATTAAAAATTAAACAAAAAACAAAATTTGAAGTGCTTTTAAATTTGAGATCTAAAATCAATAATATAATAACTTTCATCATTCTAAATCCCATCATTTGATTAATTTGCAATTTTGTATCAGTAATTTAATTTTGATAAAAGAAGACACGTCATTTTAATTAAAACACACATTCAAGTCGGATTCAACTAAATTGATCGTCAGATGTTTATGCGTCTGATTTATCTTACACGTAAAGATAGAAAAAAAAAAAAAAAATCTGGTCAATTTATTACCAAAATTGTGGGATTAAAACTGCAGCTCGGCCAAACTGCCCAGCCCAACACAGCAAATCTCTAACCGTGTGGTCCCTCTTCCAGCCTGTCTGATACATTTCCCATTCTACCCTTGGAAATCCACCTCGTCAGGGTGAAACATGATTATAATTTTCTTATTAACACAATTGTTATAAATTGCTGGCAAATATTTGTTTTGTACATATTACTGATAAAAGCCATGCATTTCATTTGACTAAATTGCAATAATTCAGATCCATACTTTTTTTTTTATTTTTACACTTTATTAGCATATTTATTCTTTTTTAGTACTTATATTATATTTTCGTCCACATGTCCTCCCATAACTTTTACCTTTATTAATTCCCAAGCAACCTCTCCATCACATTTTTTTTTTCCCTTTTTTTCATATGATTTTGTTTTTCATAATATCATCTTCGGCAAATTTCCATCTAAAAAGGTTCACGCATTAATAATAACGTTGAAAATAAGGATAACCGGTGGTCGGTCGCAAATTAAAATTAGCTTAACTTCAATTCATTAGTGTAACCTCGTGAACTTTTGCTCTCAATACAATTTCATTTCAAGTTGATATTACTTCAAATTAGTGCGACATTAATCATATCAACAATTAACAATACATATACCTAAATTAATTGTCAACGTTATGTATAATAGATATGACTTTAATTATGATGGTGATAAAGACAATATATTCCTTTATAGGAATCCCAACATTTGTTGTAGGTATATATTGATCTAATTATCAAGTTGATATTACTTTTTATTAAAAAATATTACATTTTATAAACTAATAAAAAGTATAGTGTGATAGTAGCTCGAACAATATAGTGTGACAGTGATTCGAACAGTATAGTGTGATAGTAGCTCGGACAATATAGTGTGACAGTAACTCGGACAACATAGCATGACAGTAGCTGGGACAATATAATGTAACCGTAGCTTGAATATATGGTAACTCTAACTTATAGTAGCTAAGATAACACGATGTCGATATTCCAACAGATCAGATAGTGTAATAGCTAAGACAGAAGATGTAGAATTACGTTCAATAGGTCGGGGGACCTATTTGATGAATACCGACCTATGGAGACTTGGTTTAGAAAAATACTTATAGAAGCTAAGAGAGTAAGAAGACCTACGAATAAAGGATAGGATTACCTGTTGATAGGGGACACGTGTAGGCTATACATAAAGGATCTGAATGATCTTACGGATTAAAATGAGTCTCGGGCAAATTTAGGAGTAGCCAAATAACCGTCGGGTGGATAGTCCGGGCACTAGGGCAAGCCTTCGGGCAGCCGAAATGGGCAAAACTTGATCAAGAAGCCAATGGTCCAATATACATATGGAGGATGTATGAAATATAAAATGGTAATAACAATACATACACTCTAAGCTTTACAATACAATCACATCATATGTATATCTTTCCATAATCCTTTACTGACTTGATTGTCGGAAATTTTAGGCCGTGAATACCTTTCGACATACTTTGCATATCTTCGAAGAACAAATCAATGTGAGGACAAGGAGAGCCTGTTGGAAGTGTGCTAACATCACATTATTATCAATTAACGATACATATACCTACATCATTTGTCAACGTTATTTACAAAAGATACGACTTTATTGATGGTAAAAATGTGAAAACAATATATTCCTTTACAGGAATCCAACATCTGTTGTAGGTATTAATCTAGTTATCAAGTTAGATATAATCTTTTTTCATCAAGTTAGTTAACAAGATACAGTTTAACTAATATTATAATACGAGATCAATCAGCCGAATTCGCATTTTTTTTAATTAAAATTCAAATAACAAAGACAATTAATTATTGTCCAAGTCTACAAAAAAGCTACTAAAATTTTAACTACCGCTAAAATTTGTCAACATTCCAAACCCTCTTGTCCTAGTCCCAAACTCTCTACTACAGTCTACACAGCTCTCTCACACACAGACACACATAATAACGATGTGAAATACCCGAAACACCCCCGGCTATGCTTTCCTCTTACTCTTTTTTATTTATTTATTTTTCATCGGTGCTTTCCTCTTACTTTAGTATTCCACACCAAACCCAAAAAATATTAAAAGAAGAAGAAAAAGACTACATAACACATTTCCACTACCCAAAGCAAAGAAAATCAAAGCAAGTCCACATCTCTCCCCTTTCCCCTTCAGACAACCTCAACTCTACTTTACTATTCTCTCACAAGCAATAGAGAGAGAGAGAGAGAAGCACATCACCACACCTCCAAATAAACCAGAGAGAGAAAAATAATTACCAAATACCAAATCCCCATTAATCCATCCTTCCCCAAAAACGCCATGGATTCTCAGATCTATGGCGTCCCCAATCGCCTCATCCTCCTCACCGCCGCTACTCTCCTCATCTCCGCCGCCGCATTGCCGGAAAACGCCACATCCAAGCCGTCCTCCGCCGCCGCCATAAACTCGAACTCGATCCTCGTCGCCCTCCTCGATTCCCGCTACACCGAGCTCGCCGAGCTCGTCGAGAAGGCTCTCCTCCTGGAGACCCTCGAGCGGGCCGTGTCGGAGCACAATATTACCATTTTTGCCCCTCAGAACGAAGCCCTCGACCGGGATCTCGACCCGGAGTTCAAGCGGTTCCTCCTAGAGCCCCGCAACCTGCGCTCCCTCCAGAACCTCCTCCTCTTCCACATGATCCCCACCCGCCTCGAGGCCCGCCACTGGCCCGCCGACCCGGCCCGAATCCCCCTCCGCCACGCCAGCCTCTGCCCCGACGCCGCCGCCGCTGAAAAGATACCCGTCGCCGCCGGGACCGTCGGCCCGGCCCGGATCATCCGGCCCGACGACGTCTCCCGCCCCGACGGCGTCATCCACGGCATCGAGCGCCTCCTCGTCCCCCGCGCCGTCCAGCACGACTTCAACGCCCGCCGCAGCCTCCGCGCCACCTCCGCCGTCATCCCGGAGGGCGCCCCGGAGGTCGACCCGCGCACCCACCGCCTCAAGAAAGCCTCCGCGCCCGTCCCCGCCGGCTCCCCCCCGGCCCTCCCCATCTTCGACGCGATGGCCCCCGGCCCGTCCCTCGCGCCGGCGCCCGCGCCGGGACCCGGCGGCCCCCGCCACCACTTCGACGGCGAGGCCCAGGTGAAGGACTTCATCCAGACACTGCTGCATTACGGCGGGTACAACGAACTGGCCGACATCCTCGTCAACCTCACTTCCCTAGCCTCGGAGATGGGAAAACTCGTTTCCGAGGGCTATGTCCTGACGGTGCTCGCGCCCAACGACGAGGCGATGGCGAAGCTGACGACGGACCAGCTGAGCGACGGAGGAGCGCCGGAGAATATCATCTACTACCACATAATCCCGGAGTACCAGACGGAAGAGAGCATGTACAACGCCGTCCGGAGGTTCGGGACGGTGAACTACGACACACTCAGGATTCCGCACAAGGTGGCGGCGGTGGAGGCGGACGGGTCGGTCCAGTTCGGATCCAACGGGTCGCCCGCCTATCTACTGGATCCGGACATCTATACTGACGGCAGGATCTCGGTACAGGGGATCGACAATGTTCTTTTACCGCCGGAGAGTACTAGTGCTCCGGCGAAAGCGGCGCCGGTCGCCGCCAAGGTTGTTGCCGGGCCCAGAAGAGGTATTTTAATTAATTTATTTATGTAGTTCTTTTATTTTCAGCTGTTAATATTTTATTTTTTAAGCATTCGTTTTGATTATGTCGGATGTGTGACTACTGTTGATTACGGTCGTTGCCGGAGTTTTTGATGGGTTCGTTAAACTTGGGCCGGAATCTGGTTTGGTTAATTAATTGCTGATGGGCTTTTTTGCTAGTGGTGATGGTAATGGGTAATGTGGGTCAAAAGGGAATAATTTTCTTTTAGGTGTTTACAGCTGCCCCAGTTTTTGGCTGTTTTTGCTGCATATTATTATTTGGTTTTAATTCTTGGGCTATATACTTAGCTTAATATAATTTATATAATTAGCAGACCTAACACTACTTAATACAATAATTAACTAATTCTGGGAGGAGTTTCACAATATTATCTTTTCTATTCTATTACGTACTATTAGAATTATGCATTAGTTTTGGTTAAATGCAGATTGAGATTGTTATTGTCCCAAAAAATATCACTGGCTGGAGGGTTAAAAAGAATCAGGGTTTATTTGTACTTAAAAAATATACAGTTCTCTTAAAAAGTCTATTGAATTTGTAGGTTTTTCTAATTCTTATTATTAGATTAATGTTTTGTCAAGAAATGTATCAATTTGCACAAATTCTTGTAAAAAGCAAGTTAATTATTAGAAATGTCATATTTTTCATACAAAAAAAATTATACTTGTAATATCAAATATCATATATTATATTTATGTTACAAAATGTCAGATTTTTGTTGATGTTATTTTTTTAGAATATAATATTCTAATTTAAAAATATTAATTTATATATGACAGTAATTGTTAAGTTGACTAATAGTAACATTACTTAACTAGATGGGCTTTAGGTAAATTAACTTTGTTAGGTAGGCAGGCTGTTATAATCACAGTTCAATTTTTTCAACTAAAACTCTCTTTAGCACATGAATTGTAGTGCACGCACATCACATGAAAAGGTTCTCTTTTAATTTTTAATTTTTTTCTATTTAAGTGTTTAATATTGGGTGTGTGCTTCTGTCGGTGAGAGTCTGGTATCAGGTGGTGTTGGGAACACGGTAAGAACCTTCTTTGTTGAGTCAAAACAATTATCACTAGGTTGGCCAGCTTTAGTTATTGCTTTATTGGATTTTTTTTCGAGGGTGTACCGTATTTTGCTATGGGTCGGGTCAGGAGATCAGAACTCCATTAATATTCCAGCCTAGCCCCCCATTATTGTTTGAGAATTAGTCTTGGATCTTAATTCCTAGCTTCAATGTTGGGACCAGCCTGTCTGAATTGACTTTATAACAAGTTTCTATACTATATTATTTTTTTAAAATATGTTTCATGTATATTAGTGATAATTATTATTAATTACAAATATTGTTCTCCAGCCAACGGAATATTTGATGATGAATCATCTGTTTTATATGGACCTATAATATTTTCATTATCTATTTTCTATTATTTGAATAGGCAATAGGTCTTGAAATGTGGTTTTGTAAATATTGCATATTTAATGAAACTCATTTTTTTGTGAGGTGACCTAATCGTATTTAATAATCTTGTAATTTTGGTTTGATATTTAATAATCTTGTTATTTTGCTTTGATATTTTGCAGGGAAATTATTGGAAATGGCCTGCACAATGCTTGGGGTTGTTGGACAAGACTCGCATTTCTCTAGCTGTCACTAAATTCTCATTATCTCATACCCTACCAAA